CCGCCATTGCGCGCGCACTGATGGATCCCCCCCTGCTGTTTCCACCAACGCCTGTGCCCCCCCCCCCAGGGCTACTGGGAGTGATGGGCCGCCACACCCAGGGCGCCGGCCCAGGCCCCCGCACCAACAGCCACCGCACCATCGCCAGGCAACCGCTGCGCCACGCCCACTCAGCACAGTCTGCACCAGCGGCGCGGCAGCTCGTGCTTCCCCTGCCCTAGCTGGGAGCCGCCAGGCCCACGCCCGCCACGCCCGAGCATGAACTGCGCTTCGGGCCTTGTGTGCCCGTCTGTAATTAGCCAAGCCGCAGTGAGCAGCCAAGTGCTTGGCGTGTCATGTCCCTTGTCCAAGATGCCATGCCTATGGGTCAAGAATTTTACATGCAGCCCAGCCTAATCATGTGTTTGCGTCAGCGCGTCAGGCCCCAACGCCCGCCGCCGCTGCTGCTGCTGTTAGGCGCGGCGGCCGCGCAGCTGCGCCAGCGAAATAGCGGCACCGCGGGCGAGGGCGCCTGCCTGCTCGCCTCCGCGGTGGCCGCCGTTAGTGCAGCTGCTGCAATGAGCCCACAAGCCGTGCGCGCGCCGTTGCCCCGCTCGTGAGCGAGCCGCCAAGCAACCGCCCGAGCGTCCACCCAGGGCGCGCGGCCCTGCAGTGAGGAGCCCTCCGCCGCGCCCCTGTGCGCCCGGCGCGTCGCGCACGCGCGCCGCCGCTGCCGCCGCCGCCGCCGCTGCCGCCGCTGCGTGGCTCAGTGCTCGCAGTGCTTCTCGTAGGCGGCCGCGTCCATGAGCGAGTCGACCTCCCCCTTGTCGCTGAGCTCGATCTTCATGATCCAGCCGCTGCCGTAGGGCTCCTGGTTGATCTGCGCCGGGGTGCGGAGGGCGGGCGGGGGTAGTGCAGGGGTGGGGTCGGGTCAAGCAGGGTGCTGCTCCACGCAGGAGACAGAGTGCGTGACGCGTGATGCAGCGCCGACAGGGCGACCAAACAGGCAGTCGTTCGCGTTTGCAGGCATGCACAAACACACAACCGCATGTGCGCACGCTCCCTCATGCATGGTCACAATCACAAGCACAAGGACGCCCGGCCCGCATGTGGGGCGCCCCACTCACCGCGCCGGCTTCCTTCACCAGCGCCTCGTTGACGGCCGTCACGGTGCCGCTGAGGGGCGCGTACACGTCGCTGGCCGCCTGCGCGGCGGAGGCAGATGCCCGGGCCACAGGCAGCGCATTGTTGGCTGAGGTGCGGCCAGGGTCGGCGACGGCTTTGCGCACCCCCGTCGCACGTCATCTGCCTCGTTGCGCGTGGCAGCCGGCTGCCTGTGTACCGAGCCACGAAGCTGCGCCCCCCCCAGCGGGCCAGCAGGGCGGCCGCGCTGCGCTGCTCCACGAAACGCCCTTCTCCCTGCCAACCGCGAGCCCCCTGGCCCCGCCGGAGCCGCAGCAGCCGCCCCTAGCGCCCCGCTCACCTTAACCGACTCGACGACGCCAAAGGTCTCCCCCTTGGTGACCGTGGACCCGACCTCTGGCAGCTCAACATACACCACATCCCCCAGCTCGCTCTGCGCGTGGTCCGAGATGCCAATGGTGGCGGTGTCGCCCTCCACCTTGGCCCACTCGTGGGAGGCCGCATACTTGGCCTCGGGGAGGACTGAGGAGGGGGCGCGTGTGGCGGCGGGCGGGGAGGGGCATGGGAGGGTGGGACGGCGCGGCGCGGCGCGGCTGGTGGGGGAGGTGCTGCGAAAGTGCCCGGGCGCGATGCATTGGCGGGCAGGTGCGCGAGGCGCCGGCGCTGCCCGGGAACGAGCATTGCTTTCGCAGTCCTGTTGTGTATGTGTTTCAAGGAGGCCGCCGTTTTCGCGCGGAGTGTGAAGCTTGTCCGCGCCCCATAGCAAACACGGCACGCCCCTTGCGCTGAGCCAACAGATCTGAAACATGCTAGAGACTTCTACGTCAGTGCCCCATTGCCGCTGGCTGCCTCACCCGAGGAGAACGCCCGGGTCACGGCACCGAACTGGGCGCGCAGGCCCCACTGGAAGCCTGCATTGCTGGCGAGCGCGCGGAGAGCCATGTTTGCACGATCGGGCAGGGCGGTACCGCAGGGAAATGCGCGTTTGATCTGCGCGTGAGTCCTCCAACACCAACCGCGCGCCGCCCTGGCTTCGGCCCGGGTGCCGAGGGGGTCAGTGCAGCCTCCACCGTTGCGGTGTCGTTCTATCATAGCAGCATCAACACTATTGGTTTTTACACCCATACTTGGCTGTGATGATTTTCCTGCAATTCTAAACAGCAAGAATGGGGAGTCGCTGCCTCGGTCAACAGTTGGGTCTAACAACGGATGCTTGCTTGGGCCATGCATGCGGGGGATGCGCAGCGTATGAATGCGACATCCCGTTGTCGCGCAGTAACCACCCTGTACTTTGTGTGCGTCGCGAAATTTCCCCAAAGCCAGTCTGACGATTTCATTCGCTGCCACTCATGTGTTGGCCGCTACCTGCTGAGCTGCACCGGAGCTGAACACAACGCAGTCAACCAGATTCATGGATGCCAGGTTTTATAGCAGCACGGGGCACAAAGTATGCAAACGGGTGCTTTGGAGTGATTCCTCATAGCAATGGCGCACCTGGGACTAGCACCGGGGCAGCGACGGCGGCACGGCTGCCATGCACCCTTGAAGATGGAGCAGGTGCGGCGGCGCAGCAGTGGAGCGCGCGGCCAACATGCGCAGTTGCGACCGTGCTCCAGCTTGCTTGAGTGGAACACATCATATTGATCATCCAATGTTCTTGGCATATTAGCGCTTTCAAGAGCGCAGCAAGCGCAGCCACAGGCGAAGGTACAGAGCAACTGCGTGGGCTGGGCACTGCTTGATCACCTCCATACGTGTTCCGCGGCGAGCAATTTTGCATACCTAGATAACCTAGAACTCTTGGATTAGTATGCGGTGTTATCAGGCCCTAAAAGTTTGAAGTGGCGATCTCGCGCGCACTGATTGAATGTTTGATGTGCAGCCTGTACCGTATGCGCACGCGCGGCGCAAGGCTCGAACGAGGGCCAGCAGCTGCGCCGTCCACACACTGCCGGCACAATCTTGCCCACAAGCCACTTATAAATGGGGATAGCGGGCAGGTCAAAAGGCAGGGCAGCGCCAGGGCCAGGCTTGCCGCCGTTGCCACCATTGCCGCCAGTGCGGCTACTGCTGCCTGCCACTGAGGCTGTGGAAGCCGGTACCGGCAAAGAGGGCGCCTGGGGTGCAGCCGCCACGACTGGGAAGGGCACCGCCGTTGTCGCGGCAAGCGCCGGCTGCAAGCGCTGCGCAACCTCGCCACGCGGGCGAGATCACTCCCCTACCGGATCGCTGAGCCCAGCGCCTGCGACTGCAGCTCTATTGAATTTAAACAGCGCTGTTGGGGCACCCGGCTTTAGGTTTAAGCTCGTTTTGCCTTTGACACCGTTTGCATGCCGGCACAAGCAGCCAACCAACTATGCTGTTGGTGCATGCAGCTACGTGGCAGCTGGCTTTCGGTCTTACGCTTTCCTCTAGGGCTGCTTGAGTAATCAGACTGAAACTGTTGAGTGTGGCTGGTTTGCAACATTGCCGCCGCTTTCCTCACGCCTTATATGGCAGCGCCGCATATGTGTGCCGCCAAATTTCTGTGATCAGTCATGGGTGGACCATACACAGCGTGTGTTCGGTCGGCATCTCTGTCAGTCAGCTGTGAAGCTCATCTCGCATGCGCACACGCGCTTGTGCAGTGGATGCATCAGAGCAGCATGTGATGTGTTGTGATGGCACGGGCCGGGTCTGAGGTTTGGCCGTGGCTGCCGGGGTTCGAAGGTGCGATCGCGTGGTGGCCGCCGCCGTTTGGTTGGTTGGTTGTTCGATCGTGCAGATGCTGCCTGCGTGCGTGTATGCGCGTGTCCTGAAAGGGGTGGGGGGCGCTTGGCATTCTGTAAGCAGATCCGAGGCGGGCGCTCGGCGCGCTTTGCGCGCACGCAACTGCAGAGCCGGGTGTCCCGATCGGCGCGCGTCGAGCGCGCACGCGCAACCCCGACCGTGCGCGCTGCGGCGGCCCCCTGGTCAGCGCGCCGCACGCCCTCCTTTTCCGAGGTCCCGCGCCCGGCTGCCACGCCCTGCCCTGCCCTCGCCGTGTTTTTGATGTGCATCACAGTGCCCCCCATTCACACCTCTGCGGCCGCCTCAAACAGCGTGTCTGCCGGCGTCGCCGATGATCCACGGCCTCGCATCAACCCGCAGCTTGCGCGAAGCACATGCGTGTGTGTGTGTGAGCGAGAGTACGGCGCTGTGTCAGCTCTGAGCATTTGCGAGTTCAGCAGCGTCACGGGGATGCAAACAGACCAGGAGCAGTGAGTGCCCGCAGCGGTCCAGGCGCCACGGTGATGGCGCAGTCCGAGTGCGCGGGTTGCGCGTAACAGAATCGTATCCCTTCAAAGCACCAGCTCCGCGCGTCGGGGCAGCCGCGAGGAGAGGCAGAGACCGTTTTCGAAGGCGCGAGGAGAGCGGGCCGGCTCCTTTCAGTTCCAGTTCCAGCTCCTTTTAGTTCCAGTTCCAGCTCCTCCCAGTTCCAGTTCCAGCTCCTTTCAGTTCCAGTTCCAGCTCCTTTCAGTTCCAGTTCCAGCTCCTTTCAGTTCCAGTTCCAGCTCCTCCCAGTTCCAGTTCCAGCAAATAACGCTCCACCAGATCCAGTTCCAGATCCAGTTCCGGCTCTAGCAGGCTCTTTGTCGGCGCGGGTGTGATCTTGACTCGAGGCGGTCTAGTCGGCGGGGCAGTCCGGGCGTCATATAGAGGATATTAATATGAATAATGTGTCAATATAAGCGATGGATGCGTGTACGGCGGTTGATGGCATCAGAGCATCCCGGACTGTTCGGTGACAAGTGTGTATTAGTGATCGACCGGCCCCTGAGACCCCTGCGATGCACTTTCAACAAGGGAGACGGGTGTGCTGCGCTAAATAGGTTCTAGTTCATGCCACTCCTGCCTGACTGGCGCGACAGCAGGCTGGTCATCACCGGCACCGCTGCTCAGCTGCACCACGAGTCTACATGACAATGCATGGGAGGGATGCGCATTCAAGGCCGTCAAGTGCAGTGATAGCTGGTGTATTTACCATCCACAGCACCCTCGTGTGGCTGCTGCGACAGAATCACACACATGGCTGCGTGTAGTGCATGCACTCCTCTAGCGATATCCGGCACCCCCCTGCCCCCCTGGCCGGCGCAAATCTACGGCGCTCTCTGTCCACTCTTTCTGGTGCGCTTCATGCACCCAAGCAGTACGCAATCAATGATACTCGCTCGTGTGCATGGCCGATGACTATTGGTATCACGCCGGATTTGTGCACTGGCATGGAGTGCAGATTGCTGTCGCTGGATTCTGAGCTGATTGGCAGTTTCGTCATTAGGCATGCGCCAGACACTTGCTCTCTGTCATCAGCGGGGGGCCAGTAGTGAAGTGCGATATTGGCCTGCCTGCTGGCGGAGTGCGGCCACATGCAAGGGATGGACCGCAATGCAGTAGTCGCGGCGGGATGGTGCATAACACCGTGCTCGCTGCAGCTCTCCCCCCAACTAGCGGCGGAGGACTGATAACACCAAATCCACAGCCAGCAACGAAGCAAAGACCCGTCAATGCCGCGCCTTTTCTTTTGCAATTCGCTGCAAAAGCATCTCAGTGCGGTGGTTGCTGGTTCTTGCGCGGTACTTGTCCACTTCATACTCGGCCGCAATGCTGCCGCTGGTGCGCCCTTCTTGCGGCGTCGCGCCCGTGCCGCCGCCGCCGCCGCCCTTGCCCCCCTCCCGACCCCTCGACCGCGAGCGGCTGCGCACCCTGCCGCGCGAGGCGCTGCGGCGGCGGTCGCTCGCGCTGCCGCTGCGCCCCCTGTCGCGTCGGGGCGACGTCGGGCGGCGCGGCTCGCCGCCGCGGCCGCCGCCGCCGCCCTTGCCCCCCTCCCGACCCCTCGACCGCGAGGGGCTGTGCACCCTGCCGCGCGAGGCGCTGCGGCGGCGGTCGCTCGCGCTGCCGCTGCGCCCCCTGTCGCGTCGGGGCGACGTCGGGCGGCGCGGCTCGCCGCCGCGGCCGCCGCCGCCGCCCTTGCCCCCCTCCCGACCCCTCGATCGCGAGCGGCTGCGCACCCTGCCGCGTGAGGCGCTGCGGTCGTGGCGGATCTCGTGCCTGCGCCGGTCTCCGCGTCCCTCTGAACGATGCTGGCCGTCTGGTGGGGAGCATTCCCCTCGCTGAGCTGTGGGGGAGCCGGACGACAGGGGAGGGGCGTGTGGGTGGCTGCC